TGTTCCCATGAATAATCAACCATCAACTCTACTAAAGGATTATTAGGAACACCAGTTCAAATTCTCATTAATGAAATTATCTGATCAACCAATCACATGGCAGTTGCTTCAATGCTTTTAGAACATACGTCGTGCTGTGAGTGACTTCTGCTCTGCTGATGGGTAATTCCATTGTATTGTGTATCTTCGAGTGTGGGACTACGTTTATTTTGCAAATGTATGATGCATGATTTTTCTCTGTAGTAAATGCCATGAGAGAATGGTCTGCCAGATATTTGAATGAAAGTCCCGCTGATTGGTATGTAAATCCACTCATTTCTCAATGTCCACTTTAAAGTAACATTAAAATTGTAGCTCTGTAAAGAGTCGTAGCTCTGTATTGAGTGCAGCCCCTCCATATCGCCACAATAACAATAATAGGAGAATAATAATCATATTCTGGCCTCACAGAACCATTTGTGCTCCTCCAGATGCTGGCTTTAACATAAGATATCTGCAGGAACCACTTAAATGTTAAATCTTACAGGTCTCATGGTAGTAAAAAGGTGATCCAGAACCTCTGAACTGAATATAAAGTGCTTAAAGGATCCCATAAGTTCCAGCAAGAACCGCAAAGATGGTCAGTGCTCCACCAGTAACCCTATAGGAGAAAGAGCTTTTGAGGCACTTAAATTACATTTTTAAGTTCATTGAGTATCCGACAGGATATTTGAGGCACCTTTAGTTTTTACAGTGCATGCTAACCTTTAAGTATGTTTAAACTGTTACACGCGCTATGACAAAAATGCCCCCCAATAGAAATAGATGATTGCTAGTTAACTGTCTTTTATATGACAATTCCAGCCCATTCTCACCCCCAAGGCGTCACCTAACTGACCTAACTAGCGTCAGTTAGATGACACCGTAGGATCGCGTCATGTAAGTGACGTTAAAGGGCGCCTAAAACGTCAAATATTGAAGCATGGTCAAAGGTGACGACTTGGGGTAAGAATGCGTTGACAATTCATGTGATGTTCAACAAAAAGCTAAATGAACCCGTCTCTCAAGTAATTTAGGAACTTAGATATAATTTTTTATATAGAGTATTTTCTATCAGTCTTATTACAAATAATCTGGTCATAATTTATTACCTAAAATGCAATATTTGAGTCTACGGCTGATGGAGTGCCTCATATATCTTCATCCGCATCACTCTCCCTTTGTATTTGTATACCCATGAAAACAAATTTGTGATCCACATTGTAACCTTATTGTAAAGCGTTACCATATGTTCTTTCAACACAGTCTCATCCCAAAAAGTCATATAACTGACGTCTTGGGGCGTATTTTGACCATACGTCAATATCCGCCTTTTTAGGGCCCCCTTAAACGTCGCTAGATGGCGATCCCGGGCCGTCATACAACTGACGCTTTACCTTTAACGTCAGTTAGGTGAGATTAGGGTTAGGGTTAGGTTTAGGTCTGGGGTAGAGTTAGGATCCCATAACCTCATCTACCGACGTTTAAGGGGGCCCTAAAAAGGCGAATATTGACGTATGGTCAAAAGACGTCCCAAAACGTCAGTTATATGACGTCTTGGGATGAGACCGGGTTGGTTCTTTCTCTTGTGTTCTAGACATGGGAATATACATATTCCTGTGATGCATGCTGGCCATTAATCCATGGTGTCCTCTGTCTGTGGCCTGAGGTAGTGGGATAGGCTCCACAATCCCTATGACACAAATTGTATGCAACTCAAATTTGTAACACAAAAGTAAAAAGGTCAGAAACTGCAGCCAGGCATGAGGTTTGGTGGGTTGGATGTGTTGACACTAGTCATTCAGCGTTCAAGAGCACAATAGTTCAGTTAATCCAGGCATAGTATAAAGCAGAACCTGTCTGCATCTATAGTGCACGTCAGAAACCTACACATTCTCAGAAACACACATTAAATAGTTAAGCAACTACTTACTATTCTATTTTTTATTACATCTTTTCTTTTTTTTACACCAGGAAACCTGTTGAATTCCTACTGCTGTCACGTGTTATCAGATGCGATTAGTGACCTGAATGTTCAGTTCAGATACCTTTATTAGTCCCCAAGGGGCAATTCAGTTTTACAGCCAACCCATCCATAATAGTTAAAATACAGTAACACCCAATGAATAAAAGAAATAAATACTCACATCCTCATGTTTATAGTTTACCAACCAGTATCACACACACCCACACACACACACTCACACACATTCAACTGCCATTGACTAAGCAGAGCAGAGGAAAGCAAGAACCAATTCCATACATTTATGTATTTCCGTTTAGAAGTCTTATAGCGGAAGGAATGAATGAGTTAGCATATCGGTTAGTTTTCCGTTTTGGCACATAATACCGCCGACCTGACTGCATGACAACAAATTCTTCACTGAGTGCATGGTCTGGTTGACACAGTATTCTTTCTGCCTTTTTGACAGCTCGTGTTTTCCAAAGAAAAGTCAAATCATTTAATTGGGTACCAGTGATTTTTGAGCATAGCTTAACAATGTTGGTCAAACTTTTTTTTATCTTTCACAGCTAATCCATTAAACCAACACAAGAAAGAAAATGTTAGTAGACTCTCAATAAAGGCCTGATAGAATGTACATAAAATTCTTTTACAGACCCCAAAAGAATGTATTACACAACTCTGTCACAAAGAGGCAATTGTTAGTTCTGTGTCTGTGTATCGATTCTGTGAGGTATTATAAGTCACAGTCAACAGAAATGGAATATTATAAGCCACTGATTATGAAACTTTAAACATGAAACATAAATATCTCATATTGGAATGTATACATATTTTAAGTAGAACTTAAGTTCTACAATATTCTCATATGAATACAAAGTCTTAAGAAACTTAAATTATAACAAGAGACTAACATTATCATTCTTACAAGTAGAATAAGGTTATTTTAGATATTAGATTTAGATAATTCATTTCCGAGCACCTATAGAATAAAGATGGTATGCTCTTTTAGATGAAAGAACACTAATTTTCAACATTTTTACTACACACTGGTTTAAAAAAAAAAAAAAAACATGGAATTACGTCACTTGGACCTTGGAATTGGTGCCTTTTAACATTTACTGTAAAACTTATATTACACTATACCCATATAAAAACTCATAGTAACAAAGATTTAAATCCATGTAATTATTTCACATAACTTATTGAAATGTGCATTGTGCCTTATTGTGCTTACAAAGGGACATGGCCATAGATGAAAAAAAGGGGGATAGCTTTTAGATACAGACAGTGTGCTTGAATATTTTTACTCTCTCTACCATTTTAAAAGGGGACCATTAATCAGCTTTTTATCTTTAACTTGCCTTGCCAAATAATGCATTTTCAACTGTTTGTTCAGTCAAGTAATGAATAAAGTGACCTTTAATGTTTGTCCGGGAAGGTGAAAAAACAGGCTTTGTGAGATTCTTCAGGACGTTTTGTGTTGATCTTACACGTCTTACAGTCTCACGTTTACAGCAGCAATAACTCTTCTCACCCAGGATGCTTCAAATAAATGCACAACAACGTTTTTGTTTTCAGCTTAAATTGTTATTTTAATTTAATCATTTTTACAACCTAAAAAAAACATCACTTTTCACATTTTAACAGTGCATTGAAAAGTTACTCCCTTCATATGAAATCATAGAACTTTTCATTCATAAAAAAAACAGAAAACAGATAGCCTAAAAGGTTGTACAAAAAAGATATGAAAAAATATAGACACATTCTTCCAAAAATGTTGTGAAAAAATTATTTTTGCACACACTAATATAATATCCCAAGTATGGAACAGCTTGAGGTATTTGTAAGTGAACATAGGCTACATTATAGTCACTAGAACTGAACCACTCAAATTGGGACATTTCAATAAAGTGCCATGGCGAATCTGCTACAATGCAAATATATGTAAACTGCCTGCTCACACAAATTATTACTTATGCACTTGTTCTAAGGTACTGCCAGAGACAATCATACAATGTAATAGGCTAAATAATATGCACACATAAGTTCTGCATTTGACACAAGGCTGCTCTTCAGTTTCCGGTTGGGGAGATTTAAAGCGGAGGAAACCCGAGGAAAACGGGATTATGGCAGAGTCTTCAAAATGTACAGTCCTCTAGTCTTTGAAGCGAAACTTTAATACGTTTGGATGTCATTTTATATATAGTTATGTTTATTTAATATAATAAACAAAGAAGCATAAACAAAATGGGGGGTGTCTGTTTTCTCTGTTTTTGTGACTAACGTTTCTTTAGTATAGCAATATTAGAATATCCAATATAAATTCTCGGTAAAGCATTGGACTTTACGATTGGCGGAAGTAATGCAGCACCCTTGAAATACCACCGTGCATAGAGCCGGAGCTTGATTGACAGGTGATCTGACCAATCATACTCCGCCATTCGCCATTTTGTCCGACAAAACAGTCAGGAGAGTTAGTAGATTAACCACATGGGAGGATTTGAACTTGAAAATCAGAATGTAGCCTACTGACGCCTTTCTGCGGTTAAAACAACATTCCTTCTTATGTTCATTCATGTTAATTTGATGCCATAAATGAACTACAAGGAAGAGATGATCGGATCACGAGCAGCTTTAATTGATGCTCTACAGCGATCTGTCACGACACATTAAATAGCAACGCATTCTCACCCCAAGGCGTCACCTTTGACCATGCTTCAATATTTGACGTTTTAGGCGCCCTTTAGCGTCACTTACATGACGCGATCCTACGGGGTCATCTAACTGACGCTAAAGGAAAGTGTCTGTTAGAGGACGCGGTTTGGTTTAGGTATGGGGTGGGGGTAGGGTACACGCGATCCTAGGGCGTCATCTAACTGACGCTAAAGGGCGCCTAAAGCGTCAGATATTGAAGCATGTCCAAATGCTTCCCAAGGCGTCAGTTAAGTGACGCCTTGGGGGTGAGAATGGGCTGGAAATAGCCACAAAACGGTATTTATTGTTTAAATTTCTTTAAAAAAATTACCAAATTTGAAAGGTGAGACTTTGTTTAATATCAAAAGTAACCTGGTCTGTCAGCGTGTTGTCAATCCGCGATGTATTTTTCACTGTGTGAGAACATGGTGTGTGTGTGTGTGTGTGTGAGAGAGAGAGAGAGCAGCGTAGCTTGTCGGACATAGCGACTCTAACTAATGGGGGCGGGTCTTTGTGAATGGTCAATTGTAGTGTAAGAACAACAGGCAACAGCTTGGTGTGAGATAATAAAGATCTTAAGAGTTTGTCAGAAGTAAAAATGAATGATGTGCTCCACAAAAGCTCTTCATGCTGTATGATTATATATAATGGAACACACTGAAAATTTACAGTCACACTTCAAAAATGGCCCCTTCTACTCAAACTCAATTGATGCCTTGAAGAAAGATTTGGAAAGCTGCAAGTGAGAGGAACGGGATAGAAAGGGTCAAAGAGAAGGAAGAAGATACTTGTGACCCATTAGAGCCAGCTTGGGTTGTGGTGGTGCTGTTTGGAGGTGCAGTGGGGCTTGTGACTTTTGGAGGGAAAGAGCCCACCACATCTCTCAGGAATGATGCAAAACTGGAGGTTTTAGTAAAGGTCTGGATATCTTGACGGAGAGAGCGGGATGATGCAGTGCTGTTGCTGGAGCTCGTGTTAGAGCTGCTGTTTGAGATGCTCGGTTTTAAGGTCAAAACAGCAGCATGGATCCATGACAGACCCTGCTTACACATCAGCGGACCCCCTTGATCACCCTGAGAGAGAGAGAGAGAGAGAGAGAGAGAGAGAGAGAGAGAGAGAGAGAGAGAGAGAGAGAGAGAGAGAGAGAGAGAGAGAGAGAGAGAGAGAGAGAAGGGGGAAATCTTTAATGAATGTTACAAAAATTTACAAAAAAATGTTAATTGTCACGTATCTTTGCAGACTGATAATTTTTTTTATAGGAGAAAAAATCTGGTATATGAAAATATTTAGTTTTCATACAATTGGAACATAAACTGTGTTCAAAAGTGTCAAAAGTGTTGTCAGTAAGATTAAACAAACCTCTATTCAGTAAATATGCTTTAAATTAATCAATGACAGGCAAGACATTTATATATATATATATATATATATATATATATATATATATATATATATATATATATATAATAAAAATGTTCTTTTGAACTTTCTATTCATCAAATAATCTTGAAAAAGATCACAGTTTCCACAAAAATATCTAGCATCACAACTGTTTTCAACATAATAATAATAAATGTTTCTTGAGCATCAAATCCTCATATTAGACTGATTTCTGAAGGATCATGTGACACTGAAGACTGGAGTGATGATGCTGAAAATTCAACTTTACTATCCAAGAATAAATTACAGTTTAAAATATATTTAAATAGAAAATAGCATGTTTTTAATTGTAATAATTCATGTTGCAGTTATACTGTATTTTAGATTAAATAAATGCAGCAATAAGTTAATGAAATAGGCATCATGAGCAACAATTTTAGTTTTAGCATTTGTTAATGTTAATTTCCAGCCCATTCTCACCCCCAAGGCGTCACTTAACTGACGCCTTGGGAAGCATTTGGACATGCTTCAATATCTGACGCTTTAGGCGCCCTTTAGCGTCAGTAAGATGACGCCCTAGGATCGCGTGTACCCTACCCCCACCCCATACCTAAACCTAACCGCGTCCTCTAACAGACGCTTTCCTTTAGTGTCAGTTGGATGACGCCGTAGGATCGCGTCATGTAAGTGACGCTAAAGGGCGTCTAAAACGTCAAATATTGAAGCATGGTCAAAGGTGACGCCTTGGGGTGAGAATGCGTTGTAATTTAGAATGTACAATGTTCATTGTTAACTAATGTTTGTTCATAATTAATTAACTAATATTAATACAACTTAAAACGTATTAATATATTGAATCTAACATTAATATAACTTGACCTAAACGTATTTTAGTTCAAGTTAACTAATGAATTTAATAATAAACTAAACCTTATTGTAAACTGTAAATATATTATATTTTCTTCCTGTTTTAAACATAATTAACTTGCCTGCTGTAAGTCCAAAGAACTTGTGCAAATACTGGTGCTTGAGTTTACACAATCCACAATAGAGGTCTTGAATTCCTGAAGAGTTTGATTCACTAAAAGAAGGAAAACAATTTAGTGATAATTCAAAGGATTCACACACACACACACACTCTAAACCTACCCAAAACATCACTTATTATTATTTAGACCAAAAGACCAAACAATGTCCCCATAAGGACAAGGACACACACATTTTCCCTGTTTCCATAGACATAATGATTTTTTTTGTTGCATTTTTTTTTTTTACATTTTCAAAAAACATCACTTAGTATGATTTATAAGCTGTTTCCTCATGGGGACCAAAATATTTATTTTGGGGGGACATTTTATCCCTATAACACAGGATTTACCCAAACCACACACACAAAACACACCTTCTCCTGCTCCTGAGCCCCATCCTGCCACCCAGCATTGAGTATTAGCGCTGAAGGTATTTTTTTCCATGTCCACACATATAGGCTGGATGAAATTTGTAAGGTTTGGTGCAACGGCCAGCTGCAAGACTGCAACGTTGTCGCCTGTGGTATTGCTGATGGTGAGATTCACCACTTTTATAGAGACCTCATTGGGGTTGGAGCCATTCTGATTTAGACGGCCCAGGATCACGGTCCAATCGGAGGCATTGTTGGAGCTGGCCAAAAAAAGAATTCCATTGAAAATCGGATCAATCGGATTTCTCTAATCAAATGTCCTTTTCATATTTATAGTGCCAGTACCTGGTAAAACAGCTAGCAGAGCTCATGACAAAGCGTTCGGCAATCAGCGCTCCGCCACAAACGTGACTGCCGTTAAACTGCAGACTGGCCATCCATGGCCAAATGCCTGGAGACACGAGGGAACTGATTCCTCCAACACGGTTGTTCAGACTGGCACTTCCACACACTACAGCTATAGAAAGACAATGATGCCGGGTTTTATCAGTCAAATGTTTCTTTGATTTCTTCACTTTGAAACTTTAATATGGCTGCCTTAAGAGCAACAACAAATATGTTATGCTTATGTTAGACTACATAGATATGGTCCATTAGCATAGAACATATTTGATGAAAGCTGTGTAGTGTACCGGGAGAACAGGCTTTCTGGAGTACAGATGCTTGACTATTCAAGGTAAAGTTGAGATCTGTACTTTACAGATGAAGTACAGATACTTGAAAAAACTACTTGAGTAAAGTAAAAATACTTCACTACTATTTAAATGATGCAGAAAAGATGAATCGCGGTCGGGCCAATTGATATTTCAGTAAGGAGGTAAAGGTTAGGATTATGAATTTTCAGTAGTATTTCATCACATCGTGAGTGTATATTACATAATAGTATAAACATTAACTGTTAACATTAGTTAATGCACTGTGAACTATATGAAACAGTTGAATTAACTAACATTAACAAAGATGAACAAAACAAATGTATTGCTCATGGTTAGTTCATGTTAATTAACTAATAATTAATAAATGAACCTTATTGTAAAGTGTTACCATATATAGTGTATATATGGTATATATATAGTATATTATTGTACCAAGTCTGATTCAAGTCACAGGCATGATGCTTTTTCATAATTACTTTTGACAGCCTCATTAAAAAGAACTGGTTAATAAGTCATTCATTTGTTTGTTCATTATTTTGGAAACACAGTGGCATGCTTTAATGAAATGATATCTGATGAAAGTGTGGGCAATTTTGAATGTATTTTAAATTATTGTAGCAATTTTTTTGTCGCATTGGGTCTGGAGCTCTGTGCCTCTTTCACCTTCCTTGAAAATGACAACATGAATTTAATTCACTATATAAATATGTGTTTATCTGAATTTAAGTCAAACACTTTGAAATCAAGTATACTTCTAATGCACAAAAGTCCTTGGACAAGCTGCCAAGTGAACAATGTATGCATGATTTTTTGCTGATCTTATAACTTGAAGGAACCTTACGTGGGATAGGTGTAGTTGTAGGGGCAGTAGTTGTCGGGATGGCAGGCACACTAGGACAGCTGATGCTCAGGTCACCGTCAGTACCAATGGAATTGAACATAATGAAGCCTGGCTGGTTGGTGGTGATTTGCTCATTGATCCAGGCCTGGTACTTAGACACTCTGGCATACACACCAGGGAAGTCTTTGTCAGCACAACCTATGCCAAAGCTCACAACTCCAGACTGGATCCAGACCGAACCCTGTTTGCTGACCATAGGACCACCAGAGTCACCCTGTAGGAGGAAGAATAGGTTAGTGAAATGCCAAGTAACCTGTTCTACACATGTCCACAACAGCTGTTCACAGACATAATATATAATATGAATGAAGAATGGGAAGATGACATCCTTGTGAATGCATGTTTAAAGCATCAAGTTAGTCTTACGTTAGGAAAAGTCCTGAAGATTTTAGTCAATCTTTTTTATGGACGATCTGTCACGGGGTGAGGTGCAGGGGTGCAGGAGTGCAGGCAGAAGTAGCGGGAGGAATCCAGATTAACACAAAGATATGAATTTTTTTTTAAAGTACAGGCAGGAAGACAGGGTTTCACCAAGTAACATCAAACATTGACCGACAAAGACAGACTGAAGGAGGGAGAACTAAATACACAGAAGAATCAGACATAATGAGGTGAAGACAGGTGAAACAGATGAACAGGACGCTGAACGGGAGGCTGATGAGGGAGTGAGTTCAGGTGTGCAGACGAGAGGATCATGGGAAGTGTAGTGCTGGAGACGCGGACAGGATGGTGCAGACGAAGGGCTGTGACAGAACTCCCCCCTCCCGGTAGGCGTGACCTCACGCCGCATAACAGAGGAAGGAGGGGGGACGAACTGGGGGCTGGGCGGGGCGTGGCCAGGGCGGAGCAGGCTAAGGGCGTGGCCAGGGCGGAGCAGGCTGAGGGCGTGGCCAGGGCGGAGCAGGCTGAGGGCGTGGCCAGGGCGGAGCAGGCTGAGGGCGTGGCCAGGGCGGAGCAGGCTGAGGGCGTCCCCAGGGCGGAGCAGATGGAGGGAGCACCCCTGGTGGAGCCGATGGTAGTGGGGCTGACAACACCAGGGGGCCGACTGACAGGGGCGGAGCAGATGGGAGAGGAGACCAGGGTGAAGCCGAGGGACAGACGACACTGGGTGCTGAGGAGGGACCGAGGGACCATGGTGACACCGTAGGCTCTGGTGACTGAAGTGACGACAGGGGCACAGAGGGACACGGTGAGGTCAGAGGGCGTGAGGGCTGACGGGTGACTGGAGGGAGTGAGGAGTCCAACTGAACCGGAGGGGTGACAAAACGGGGCGGAGCCAAAGGAAGGAAGTCCATAGGTGAGGGGAGGATGACGAGGGAGTGAAGGGAATCCGGAGGACCGAGGGAGCCTGGCCGAGCTGGTGGACTGAGGGGCCATGGAGGAGCTGAGGGAGGTAGGAGCCACGGGGGAGCTGATGGGACAGAAGGCCGAGGAAGTGTCCATGTGGAGGAGGTGTGAGGCGAAAACCGGGGATACACGGACCAGGCTGGTTTCGGGGAGCTGAAGGGCAGTAGAGCAGAGCGAGGACAGATGAGAGGAGGCGGGAGAGGGAGGCTGGGCGGGATCCTGGTCTCTGGCTGGACGGTCTGGACGGTCTCTGGCTGGACGGTCTGGACGGTCTCCGGCTGGACGGTCTCTGGCCGGACGGTCTGGACGGTCTGGACGGTCTCTGGCTGGACGGTCTGGACGGTCTCTGGCGCTGGCTGGATGGGGCTGGTCAGAACCAGCGAAGAGGAGAGCTTGGGCTCGGCGAGGCTGGACGGGACCAGCGGAGAAGAGAGCTCGAGCTCGGCGGGGCTGGACGGGACCAGCGGAGAGGAGAGCTCGAACTCGGTGAGGCTGGACGGGACCAGCGGGGAAGAGAGCTCGAGCTCGGCGGGGCTGGACGGAACCAGCGAAGAGGAGAGCTTGGGCTCGGTGAGGCTGGACGGGACCAGCGGAGAAGAGAGCTCGAGCTCGGCGGGGCTGGACGGGACCAGCGGAGAGGAGAGCTCGAACTCGGTGAGGCTGGACGGGACCAGCGGGGAAGAGAGCTCGAGCTCGGCGGGGCTGGACGGAACCAGCGAAGAGGAGAGCTTGGGCTCGGTGAGGCTGGACGGGACCAGCGGAGAAGAGAGCTCGAGCTCGGCGGGGCTGGATGGAACCAGCGGAGAGGAGAGCTCGAGTTTTGCCGGGCTGACGGTGAGCGCAGGCTTTCGGGGGACCAGAATCAAGCGGGGCCGCCGAATTGGAGAGATTATCCCCCGAAAAGTCACTGCAGTCATGTCCATCTTTGCTTTTGGGTCGGTCAATCTGTCACGGTGTGTGCAGGCAGAAGGACAGGCTGAGTCCAGGTTCAAATGAAGACAATATATATTTAATTCCGAATACAGGCAGGATGACGGGGTACACAGAGTAACATCGAACATTGACCGACAAAGACAGACTGAAGGAGAGAGAACTAAATACACAGAAGAATCAAACATAATGAGGTGAAGACAGGTGAAACAGATGAACAGGACGCTGAACGGGAGGCTGATGAGGGAGTGAGTTCAGGTGTGCAGACGAGAGGATCATGGGAAGTGTAGTGCTGGAGACGCGGACAGGATGGTGCAGACGAAGGGCTGTGACACGATCAACACTCGTCATTGAAAATGATATACTGTAATGGTTGGAAGACTTGTCCCATGAAAACTACAACATGATCCCACACATGTCTATGCCAGGGTTTAAAAGATTCTAGGGAGTCCATAAAAAATATGAAGGGAAAAAAAGATTTTTCAAAATGGAAGTAGAAGTTAATATTTAAAGTTAAAGTTAATATTTTCCAGATAATATTTTTTGGAATTTTGCATTAGCTTTAGTAAACTAACAATATAAAAGTCAATTATTAATTGTTGCCAAAAATAAAATTACACTTTTTCCTCACATATAAGAAATATAAGTGGGTATTGTATATGGATAAACTTTATATAGCTGTACTGATATTTTAGGAATGGGGAATCATCATTATCTGTCATCCTTCTGCATTGTTCAGTTGCCAGAATTGTGAAAAGCACAATTTTCAGTTATGAGTTAATTTCGCCTTGCAGTATAAAATACAATAATTTAATTTTGCAAACAACATGTTGCCTTTATACCACACTGTTTCTAACACAGTTTACATGGGTCTTTCATGAAAAAATAAAAATGTAGCTGCCTTCGGAAGGGCATCAAAATATACCGGGGCTCTTGGTATTAAAAAGTTTCAAAACCCGTGGTCTATAAAACAATCACACATCATCTTCATTACAGTACAAACATTAGCAATTCAATTTATTTATTCTGAATAAAGCTAAACTGAAGAACTGGTTTGTGTTTAAATATTACATTTCTGGTTGATTCACTGGGTTGAATTCCCTTACGTCAAAGTTCAACCCTTACATTATCATGTTATATTATCAGGTTACCTCTCATTCTATTTATTCTTAATTATAACTATAAACTTTGCAGAATATAAGCAGCCCATTTAAACTATATAAAGTAACACAAACAGACAGGATTTGTTACCTGACATGAGTCTTTGCCCCCTTCCAATACTCCAGCACACATCATGTTGTCTGTGATTTTTGTGACACCATAAAGACATTTACACTGCCTGTTTCCAAAAATAGACACTTGCACTTCCTGTAGAGTTTGCGGTGAAGGCAGGGGAGCTAAGAAACACATAAAATGATAAAATATACATCAACTATTGCAATAGTACAGTATGATGTGACTGTTATCAAGGTTACTTAAATTAAATACGTACTGTTTGAACCAATCGTTCCCCATCCAGTGACCCAGCTGGAGGTTTTGTTGAAGAACAAACTGTTTGATGAAGCCAGACAGACCGGACTGATAAACTGAGTAAAATTCACCGGTGATTCCAGTTTCAGAAGAGTGATGTCGTTATCATTAGAGACGGTATAGTTTGGGTGTTTTATGATATTAGAGACAGCTCTGGACACCTCATTTGCATTTGCCCCCTCCTGTGTCTGTCGGCCCAGGTACACAATTACAGGGAGTGTTGTACTGGAATATGGTAGAAGAAGGAGTGTTAAGCATTTGCCACATTGAATGATTAAAAAAAATATGAATAATTGATTATAATTACTCTTGAAAGCAGTGAGCTGCAGTCAGAATCCATTGATTGTTGATGAGTGATCCACCACAGAAATGTTTCCCGTTCCTATGAAGGCTGACCTGCCATGGCCAAGCGCCAGGCACTGCATTCTGCCCCCCCACTATCCTTGTGTTGAGACTTGCTTTGCCACACACTGACAATAGACAAGGTAAAGAAAACACATTTTATATAAAGCATTGTTCATTTTTAATGGAATTTGGGAACTTAAATGGTTAAAAAACTGATTACCATCCTGTTGTGCATTACACCCTAGAAAAGAAGAAACAAAGTTCATAACTTCAGTGGAGAAAAAAGTTTATATATGCAATTTATATATTTTATATGCAAAATAAAAAGTAATGGTTATGTTAGTTAAAAAACAATTATTAGGTATCTCCTAATAAAAGGTCTCATAATAAAAAGGTCTCACCTATCATTTGAAGAGAGACGATAAATGCTACACTGAGTATGTGGATCATCTTCATCTTCATCTCTGACAGCACACACACCTGCAGTCCTGCTCTTAAATCCCCCTGCTAACCTGTTTTCAACACGCCCACATAATCTCTCTTCACATTTTAACGCCTTCACGTCTCTGCGTCTGTAAACTCCTTCATTGTTCATTCGAGTTTCATCTTAACCAACCGGTACCGGTATGTCTGAAAGTGTAATGAGGGACATGTTGGCGAATCTCTCAGTCATGCATAATTGTCACCAGCACAAACTGCAATCTAAAAATGTTTGTTTCTGATGACATTTTAATGTTGAGATCGAAGAAGGTGCATGAGGTGATTTTAGTGTTTCTAAAAATAAAACTATTTTATGAGGTGATGTTTTCAAATGAATTTGTGCCATGTGATGAACACGGAAACAACATTTTTTTCCTAAACATGAAGGTCAACCTCTAAACCTTTAACTGTACAAAAAAAAAATTCCCAGTTCTCCGAAGTTTAAAAGTTAGGCTCACAAATTTCCACGAGTTTGTTGGAACTACCTTAAAACATCTAATTGTGTTATTATAAGTTTAAAATAAAAATATGAAATAAAAACATATTTATGATTGATGGTCTAAAAATGTCAGTAGGCTAAAATCTTGTCCAAAAGAATGATTCGCTTGCAGCACATGGTAACAGTGGCAAGTTAAAGTTGTCTTGCAATAGTAAAATGATTGACTAGCTAATACAGATGCAATAAAGATTAAAGTAATACTTAAGTGGCCTAGAAAAGCTTAAAGTATAAAAGAAATGTGTGAAGTCATCATGTCCCATTCTTCTAAATCCCTCTAAGGTTGAGTCATATGCAGCAAACATCACTTGGCTCATAGCCGAAAAAAAAAAAAAATTCTTCTGGTAAAACGAGGATAAAATAGCTGCAAGCTAACTTTCCTGTTATCAAGTGAATGTACTTACTGATCTTTTAGGCTGATACATTTTTTAACATTGCATTATTTATTTCAGATTTTTCTTTCAAACTTATAATCAAAAATAATATAGGGTTGTTTGACTGATTATTTCAGAAATGTATTATAATGGGGTGACAGTTCCCAACCTAAATCTAAAAATGCATATTTTCTTATCTCTTCAAATGACTGACACTTCCTACACAGCTGTCTGGACTGGGGTAGATGTTTAAGGTATAAAACCTTTTAGAGGTTCTCATCATGGGATAATTCATTTTATAGATTCAGTTTAAATTGGTAAGTTTTAATTCATTGGTAATTGTAATTAGATGTGATGAATTAAGCAGTTCATAAATATACTTTATAATTGTAAAAAAAAAAAAAGTTAATTGAAAGTAAGATGAAAGTATGATGAAACTGATGATTTATGACATTTCCCATTGCAGAACCTATTTAACATTAAATGTTCTTTGAAAGTGAGTCAAGAACAGTAAGGTTCTATATAGAACCCCATCCAAGAATAATATTTTAGTTTTTTGTTTGGAATTGCTTTCTCTAGCACTGACTCTAACAAAATAATATTATTTTAACATTTGCAAATGTAGGTTTTGTGTCTTAATAATAATTAATAATTATTCATTATATTTATATAGCGCTTTTCTAGACACTCAAAGCACTTCACATGGGGGGGGGTGGGGGGGGGGGGGGGGGGAGTAGATCTCCTCAACCACCACCAGTGTGCAGCATCCACCTGGATGATGCGACGGTAGCCATAGTGCGCCAGAACGCTCACCACACACCATCTTACTGGTGGAGAGGAGACAGTGATGAAGCCAATTGGTATATATGGGGATGATTAGGAGGCCATGATGGACAGAGGCCATTGGGCAAATTTGGCCAGGATGCCAGGGTTACACCCCTACTCTTTCGAAAGACATCCAGGGATTTTTTATGACCACGAGTCAGGACCTCGGTTTAACGTCTCATCCGAAGGACGGTGCTCTTTTGACAGCATAGTGTCCCCATCACTTTACTGGGCCGTTAGGACCCACACAGACCACAGGGTGAGCACCCCCTGCTGGTCTCACTAACACCTCTTCCAGCAACAACCTGGTTTTCTCAGAAGGTCTCCCATCCAGGTACTAACCAGGCTCAGCCCTGCTTAGCTTCAGTGGGCAACCAGTCTTGGGCTACAGGGTGATGTGGCTGCTGGTCTTGTTCCTTGTTCTTGTCTGTCATGTGATTCCCTGTTTGTCATGTGGTCCTGCCATGCGTCTTGTCATTTGTTAATTGTCAGGTCATTGTTCACAGGTGTTCCTTGTCCCTCTTGTTTGCCGTGTCTTTGTCTAGTATTGTATGTTTCTTGTCCAGGTTTCCAGTTCCATGCCTCGCCATGCCTTTGTTTTGTATTTTGATTTAGTTATATATATATTAAAGTTTGCATTTGGGTCTTACCAGCTTGCCTCCAGCCATTCATTACAGAATACTAGACCAATCATGGACCCAGCAATCGGCCTCTTCCGCCTCAGCTAGGGAAACCGTCTAGTTGAGGATTACACGAAGGAATTCTGCCTCTGAGCCAGCGCTTCATGTCAGTCCCACTGAATTTGAGTTTCCTCGCATCATGCCAGAACTCAGACCGGCCACCAGATCGAGATTACTATCCAACATCACAGACCCACCTACGCTATCTCACGACCAATTAGTACAAATTCGTACGAGTGATTAAAAAGTGGCTAATTCGTACTAATTCATATGACCTCACTCGTACGAATTCGTACGATTTGTCCAAACCCACGTAATGGGTAGGTTTAGGGGCGGGGTCAGGGGTAGGTCATTCGTACGAATTGGGCAATTTGTAAAATATGTACGATTTAGCAAAAACGTACTAATTTGTACGAGTGAGGTGGTACAAATTGTTACGAATTAGCCACCTCGTAAAATTCGTACAAATTCTCACCCACCGCTGGTGTCGATCTGCCAGAAGGGCCACTACCAAACACAACCTAGGGTCTCATCTCGCCGAGAACACCCCTCTGGGGTCTTATCCTGCTAAGTCTGAGTATCTTCACATCAGAAACAGAAAAGCCTTTTCTGCAATGTGTGTGTCTTCGTTACATGAGGCAAGATTTTGCTCAAAGTAGTTTCTCATTTTGATGATTAAGTACTCAACCACAGAAAAAATACCACACCAACCACTGGTTTCAGGTTTTCCAGGTTTGTTTTTCAGATATCTTCTTGCTTAGTCATGCACACATGCCATTTGCTAATTTGCATATATAAGGATATGTGATCATCTGAAAACCTAAAGAAACCCAAAGAAACGATGAGGATCATGGAGAAAGACTGAGAAGAAGAAGATGATGATGATGAAGTACAGATGGAATTGATAAATGAGAAATGAGTTGGTGTTTGAAGAGAGGAAGAGGACAGCAGGGTGGAAAGAGAAGACACAAACGAATCATGAAGGTTTACTCCCAATCCTCATGTTTGTCTGAAGAAGTAGTACATGTGTGGATTAATAAAATATTAACCACAATAAAACAACTTCCTCATTGTCCATCTTAGAAAAAGTTTACAAGAAAGTTCAAAAGATCAAGGAATCATTTTACAAAAACAAAGGTTCTATAGAAAATGCCAAATAACAAACAAATCTTTATTCTTCCCCACTTGAAATGAAAAAAAGTTATTTAAAGTTTTAAATATCCATTTTTTAGTCTAGAAATCTATCAATTGTCAGACTGTAAAATTATTCTGTTGCAGTTTCTCCAGGTAACCGGTTTTAGGACATTGCATTTAGTTTGACATTTAGACACAAAATATCTGCCCAACCACCACCCCTCATTCACGCAACATGCACAGGAACGTAATAACTAATTACTATGCAAAATATACAAACTTTACAAATAAACCAACAGACTCTTTGAGTTTTTCAAGAATTCTACGAAACCGTAGCGTGGCGTCCTGTACATAGCCAGATAAAATCTTTCCGTCTCAACCACAGGCAGTTGCTGCTCCTTTCTGCTGCTTCAGATCCGTTCTTTACTGTGCGACGCAACTCTTGGCCACTGAATCCGACGTCTCTGAGGAACCCACTTCCACTGGATAAACCTGGACTCTCCCTCCTCGCTGTTCTGCTTCAGTGGCCAGATGAGCATACCGCAGTTCCACCTTCCTCTCATGCCTCATCTACAGCATCCTCTCATGGCACTGTTAACTCCATCAGCTGAACAATGCGTGCTGATCCTGACCACAAAACAATATCTGGTCGGAGGTTAGTGGTGGTCTCAGGTGGAAAAATGGCTTGGCTTACTCTGGCTAATCTTTGCTGTCTCAACCGACGACATGTTTGTCCCGTTTTAGCCACCGTAGCTTCTTCAAAAGGGAGGGGTGAGCAGTGGGCTGAACCCTTAGTGCAAACCTGGTGCAAATTCGCAACCGAACCGCTAGAAAATCGGTAAAAATCACACACTACACCTTTAAAATAAATTGTAATCCAGAATGTTTAATTGAGTACATTTTTTGACATAGTATCTGTCATGTCACGAGGTGGCTGGAAGTGGGCTGAAACCCATCTTTTCGGTGGTTTCGGTCTGCTTGTTTGGTGCGCACGGATGGCAGCGTTCACACTTATTCAACTGAACTGCACTGCAATCGCACTAGAGTTTGTTTGAATCAAAAATATACATATACAGGGTAAATGAGGGAACTAAATGGGAACAGCTGAACAGAATTATTAACTGGCTAACCATTGAAACTAACTCAGACCAACAGGAACAAAATAAAACTAAACCGAACATGACCGTGACTAGGGTTGGGTATCGTTTGAATTTGAACGATTCTGATTCCGATTCCGATTCCTTGTTTCGATTCCGGTTCCTAAAGATTCTCGATTCCGATTCTTTTAAGAAGCAGGGTCAAAAAAGTTTAGCTAATCTTGCTAACCAACGGTCTTTCTGAAGGAAATACTCCTTCTGTCACAAATACTCCTTTTGTGACAAATTTTGCATTTTGCCGAGATTTCGTTATTTTTAGAAAAGTGAAGCCACACTTTGGACCACCGATGTAAGCTACTCATGTTCGACTCGCGCGGTTATGCCAACACTTCCGGTAGACGCTTCTTCATTGGTGTTGTTCAGCGATTTCTTCTTCCGGTCGGTTTTTTTTTTTTTTTTTTAAGGAAACAATATAATTACAAATGAGTACAAGAAAACAAACATAACAAACATAACAACGGGGTTGCTCAACATTTAGTCAGGTGGAAACGGGGATTGAACCTTCAGGTTTGTATACAACATATGAACCACTGAGCCACTGCCGCCCCATATTGTACACCTCTGGAGGTTTGAAGTGACACGAGGGTGAGTAAATGATGAAAGAATTAACATTTTTGGGCAAACCACGTCTTGGGCATTGCTGAATTTGACACGATGAATCTTGATTTCACATTTCAGAAAACAGAGCTGAGATTTCTCAACATTATAGATCACAAAGCACAAAACATAAGAAAGTACTGTTAGTACCTCTGTACCTCAATACTTCTGGAAATCTACTCCACTTTTGCAAGTGGAGTAAAGTGGCTCAGTGTGTTAAAGTGGGTTTATTTCACAAGTTTGTAAACCTTTTTCTTTATTTACAATGGAATGAACATGCACAAACACTTTAAACCTGTTTGTCCGGTCAAACACATTCTCAAATGGTTCAACAGATAAACACACACAAAATTTTTCTTTAGATCAATAAAAATGTCATGCCAGGGTTTCCATGAAAGTTTCTAAGAAATGACGTCATTAAAACTTTCTTGACAATGGCTGCTTTTGTGTCACAGTAAAAAAAAGCAATAAAACACACACAAACACACACACACACACACACACACACACACACACCTCAAATAAAAGAAAATGTACAGACAATTCACATGTTCATTGTTGTTTAGAATTCAGCCTACAATGGGTTGGGTTACAGATTTTTAACGTGTGGTTAAAAAAAATGGTAAATGGTAAATGGTAAATGGACTGCATTTATATAGCGCCTTCATAGTAAGTAAGTAAGTACATTTATTTGTCCTCGTGAGGAAATTTGTTTGCATAGCAATCAAGTAGGCATTTCAACATACATACGACATACATCATACACACACACAAAAATAAATAAATAAAAGAAAAAATACAAAGACACATACTACTACACTTAGCCCATAATTCCACATACCCTACACTTATTAACTACCTATTTGATTTAAGCAATACCAGACCAGCTGAGTATCCTATACCTATGTAACTTAGCTATTTAAAAGCTTAATTGCTTGAGGCACAAATGAAGACTTTGATCTATTTTTAGTGAATAGAGGGAGGCAGTACCGTCGCCTAGAAGGCAGTAGTTCGAATGAAGAGGCAAGAGGGTGCCTCTTGTCTCCCACAATGGTTTTTGCCTTGTTCATTACTCTTTCCCTGTAAATGCATTCCACACTTGGTAACGTGATCCCTAATAGTTTACTGGCCAGTGTTACTGTTTTCCTTACAGACTTCTTCTGTGCCTCAGTAGCATTTCCAAACCAGCAGATGATGCAGAAGGCCAACACACTTTCAATAAAAGAAGAATAAAACATCTGAAGCATTTTGTTGTGAACATTAAAAGATGACAATTTCTTTAAAAAGTACATTCTTTGTTGAGTCTTAGTACTGATGAGGTCAGACCACAGATCCCATTTAAGCTTATGGTCAATCACTATGCCAAGATATTTATAATTTGTAACCGATTGTATAGCGTCCCCGTTAATAAAAGTTAAATTTGATGATTGTGTCATTCTAAAATCAATGGACATTTCTTTTGTTTTTGTGGTGTTTAGAAGGAGGCTTGACTTTTCACACCAATTTAAGAAATAGTCAAGAACTGGCCCATGATCCTCCTCATCATCATACAGTAGACTCAACAAAGCAGTATCGTCTGCATACTTAATAAGGTGCCTGTTTGGTAAAGTGCTGGTACAAGAATTCGTATATAAAATAAACAATAAAGGAGATAAAACACATCCCTGAGGAGAGCCTGTGCAAGTAGACATCTTGACCGAGAGAGAAGTTCCTGTCCTGACCTGCTAGATTCTACAACTAAGAAAATCAACAATCAAAGAATCAAGCCAGGTTCAAGTGAAAATTCTGAGGCCAGTCTATCCGCCAAAATACTGGGCTGGATAGTATTAAAGGCCGAGGAAAAGTCCACAAATAAAATCTTAGCGTGGGTCTTTGGTTTCTCAAGGTGAGTGTGCAATAAGTGCAATAGTGTCCCAATGGCATCTTCAACTCCCCTGGAGCCTGATAGGCGAATTGCAAGGGGTCCAAGAGATGCTGAGTTTCAGATACAATGTACCTCTTTACTAACTGCTCGAAGCACTTCATGACCAGCGACGTTAGTGCAATTGGTCGATAGTCATTTGGTCCAGTGGGTCACTGAGTTTTTGGCACTGGTATAATTATGGATGTTTTCCATAGTGTTGGGACCTTGTGAAGGTTAAAAGAAGATCTAAAAAGGTCAGTGAACACTGGTGCTAGCTGTTCAGCACAATGTTTTATGACCCTTCCACATATGTTGTCTGGTCCTGAGCTTTTCCGAGAATTACATTTCCTAAAAAGCTGAAGGACTTCTGATTCCTTGATGGTGAAGTTAGATGAGAGAGGGAGACAAGGGAGTGGAAGGGGTAACCCAGTGGTTGCTTCCATACTATTTCCCCTCTCGAAACGACAAAAGAATGTATTTAGCTGGTTTGCCAGATCAGGTTCATCACTCTGCAAAACCAGTGGAGAATTTCCCCTGCCCTTGTGTGGAACATTGGTCATAATTTTAATTCCTTGCCATGCCTCTCTAGGATTACCAGATGCCAGAGTGGCCTCTATCTTTTGTTTATAGCTATACTTATCCAGCTGTATTTGTCGTTTAATCTGCCTCTGTGAGTCCCTTCTCGCTGTTTCATCCTGATTTCTAAAAGCTTTTTTCTTTTGAATTATAAGATTCTTTAGTTTGTTTGACACCCATGGCTTGTCATTAGGAAATACTTTAAAAGACTTAGTAGGTATCACAGAATCTACACAAAAGTTAATATAATCAGACACTGCTACAACATGATCATTAATATCAGGGCTCTTAAAGACATCCCATGCTGTACAGTCAAAACACCCCTGCAGAGCCATAATGCTGTCATTGTTCCACACTTTGACAGACCTTTTTTGAGGCTTCTCCCTCTCCAGTAACCTCTTATAGACAGGCCGAAGATGAACCACAGTGTGATCAGACGCCCCTAGTGGTGGTAGCTGGGATGCTGTGTAGGCGTCTTTGACGGTTCCATAACACATGTCTAAAGACTTATTTTTCCTAGTAAAACACTTAACATACTGATAGTATGTGCGTAGATGTTTTTTAAGGGCAAGAACAGTTATTAAAATCTCCCAGGATGAACTTAGGAGCATCAGGTGAAAGTGACTCCAGATTCTGTGAGAGGTTAAAAAGAATCTCTGATGCTTTGTTGACATTTGCCTTTGGGTGTATATATACCACTGTAAGGAAAATTTGAGGAAACTCCCTTGGCAGATAGAAGGGTCGCAGAGAAACACACAGCAGCTCGATGTCAGGAGTACAAAGTTTCTCTCTCACCGTAACTGCCCGGCACCACTCGTCCCTGATGAGGAAACAGACTCCGCCTCCGCGAGCCTTCCCGGTGATGTTGGGGTCTCGGTCGGTCCTAAACGCCGAGAAACCTGAAGGTTCCACCTCACTGGACGCGATGTTACTATCCAGCCAAGTCTCAGTAGACCTAATGGCCACCAAAGCGCTTTACATTTTGCCTCACATTCACCAATTCATACACTCATTCGTACACCGACGGCGGTGTCAGCCATGCAAGGCGCCAGCCAGCTCGTCGGGAGCAGCTGGGGTTAGGTGTCTTGCTCATGGACACCTCGACACTTGGTCAGGTGGAACCGAGGATTGAACCACCAACCTTTCGGTTCGTAGACAACCCACATGAACCACTGAGCCACTGCCGCCCCCGAAAATGTTCACCATTAGGCCTATACAGTCACATCTCCACTTGTCTTGACTATGAAATGACACTTTTTAATTAGAAAGGGACAGTGAACTAACAACTAGATTGACAACATGTTAACATATTGCACAGAAATGTTTCACAACACATATTGCTATACTGTACTATGCAACTCTCATTAAGGAAATAAAATATTAGCCTAGGTAGAACGCGGAAGATATCTTGTTTTAAAACCACAAAAGGAATTTATGTGGAGAATTAAAGCTGCAGTCCGCAGTTTTTCCTCTTAGTCACTATCTCTGTTCGAAATCTGTAGTTGCAGTTATTCACGGAATTATTAACTTTACATCAGTTGTACATTGGCATGAAACAGCGTGGATGAACACAGAGACTGCGCGTCGCCGGTGTGGATTCTGGCATTCAGAATCAGACACTTCTACTTTTCTCATACGATGTGTATGGCGTCATTTACATTTTTAAAAGACTTTTTAAAGCAAATAAGTGACTCAAAAAATTATATCCTGAGAAAAGTTGATTTTAGGGGTATAGCTCCTAAAATAATAATAATTTCGCAAAAAGCTTGCAGGCAATTGGGGGAACGTGGAGGCACAACGTCTGATAAAGTCGAGGGAGAAGCCCATAGAGAGTCGTAAAGTTGATCATGCTGCTCATGGACAAGTAACACTCACTCTCCTCATCTCTGTGAGATTCAATTATTCAGATTTCACTCAGCACAGCTAGAAGATATACAGGTCACGTGACAAATGAGCTCAGTTTGAGCATACAGTACGCCTGGCTATCAGCTTTTGCTTTTAACAGGCTTCAATTTTCTCTGTTGAAATCAATGGGGTCACTACGTCCATTTCTTTTACGGTCTATGGCTTCTATCTAGTGGACAAACATTTAAACTGCATCTAGATTAGGCAAGGCAAGAGCATAAGTATGCATCGGCAAACAATAAGAGCATGTGACTGACTTAAACAACTGACTTAAACTATTACATTTACAAACACAATGTTTGATAATAACAACTTTAAAAGTGACATATTGTACTTAACAAGGGGATTTATTTCATTACTCCCATGCTACATTTGTAGATTTTTGTGTCTAAATTCTCATTTTTTCATGATAAAAGTGGTCTGCAGCTTTCCCTTATGAAAGTTTACAGCATTTACAGTAAAACTATAACAAAACACAATTTTAACTATGGTTTAATGTTAATGTAAATGTAAAAAATAATAATAATAAAATGGCTGTTTGCTACGTTTGCACCTTCCGCCCACACTAAGGCTATGTTATAATGATTCTGAAGAGAAACGCAAAAGTGGCGTTGCGTTATCACTTTTTATTCTGCGTTTTTATACCGCGTTACCTTTGCGTTTTTACCCTTTACACGGGAACGCGGCGGTGGAGCGTTTTAAAGATTTCCACTCTGCAGGGTGGTTTCACTTGTTTGCATTTTAAGCCCAAAAAACGCTGTCGCCGTGTAAACGAAAGGCACACCCGATAAAATATTTTTACGTTTTTACCCGCGAGCGTTCTCGTGTAAACAGAAAAAACCTAAAACGGAGAAGTTTAGAAACGCTGCAGCTCCGTTTTGCGTTTTGTATCTTGGAGGGCGTTTTAGTGACAAAATGGAGGACTTTAGAAACGAGGCTCACGCTTGGCTGGGTCCTTCCCTAATTCGTCAGCCACCCATCACATGAACCGTTTGCTGTTAACACCGGCATGCACATGCAGTGTTGGTGAATGGTCACTTAATAAGCATTTTTAGTCGCTTTAATGTGGGTCGCCAAAACACGGAAGTGAGTTAGCATTTTAGTATGACCGGTTCCCTCTCTCTATATGTGATTTTTGATTGGGTTTTTGCTAAATCGCCTGAAAGGTCTGTGGTGAACAAACCCTCTAAATATTTTCACGTTTTGATCTATAACATAGAGCACACAGTTATAATCTGCTTGTAAAAATAAAACTTGTGTCTGCTTGTGTTTTTTTTTTTTAAATCTTTATATAGGCTTCAAAATATAGGCCTATATTTTGGATTAACTTGTAAAGATTATCTTGATAGACAAAATGTGAAAGGGTCACAACTCTTTGTTAAACACAGATCTTATTTTTTGCAATTTTCCAAAAGTCTTTGGGGAAAATGCATAGCTTTTCGATCGAGGGAACCCATGCGCCGCTAATTCCGAGTTGTCCTACAAAGTGACATCATCACTTCGGCACTCTATTCTAATACGTGGATTAATGTGTGGACGCAGATCGTATTCCTTTTCTCCGTTTTTAGTTAGTTTTGGTAGTTTTGGCTACCAAAACTGGCATGAAATTTGAATTTTCAGTTACAGATTTGAGAAGTTGCAAGTGCCAAATTGAGGTAATGTGTAGGCTAATGGGTAATGAGTAATGTGAAAGTGAATGTAAGAATAAATGCAAATAAATATTACGTTTGTGATTGTCATTGTTTTTCTGTGAATGGCATTTTACACATTTGTGACTACTTCTTCAAATTCAGAATACAGGTTTGTGACTATATTGTCTGCGAGCGCAAATTTCAACATTCAGATTTTTATTTGACAGGTTTTCACATTGAAGCTGTGAGTGTAAATGTTCACATATGTGAATATGTATTGTGTTCTCAAATTCACATCTATGTGCTCTTGAGTATTGCTACTCTTTTACCTTCATAATATTAGATTGTGAAAAATAGTCCACATACAGTAGGAGCCATCTGGTCATTTAGCATTGTAGCTCTTCCTCAAGGCAGCCACCTCCATTCCACAAGCCACAAGGCATTCATCTCATTCAAAAACCACTTGAAACACAGGTCTCTCAAAAAAGTTTTTTATGCTCTATATAGGCTATTACTCTTCAGCTTACAGTCTATTCGTTCGTTCTGGAGGGATGCTGGATCATGGCCTGTTGTTTTAAAAAGTAAGAAAGCACAATAAGACATTAGCATGACCACATCCAGCCAGGCCTTTTTTCCCTGTACCAGCTCTGAGAGAGTCCTAGCGCCCTCTATTGGCCTGATTAAAACCATAGAATCAAAAAACATTTTTTTTTTTTTTTTTTTAATTTTTGGTTAAAGTAACACACATATATTTTCTTTACCACCAAAACACTATTGTATTGCGTTTAATTTTTCCACTATACTTAATTATCAATTTCTGTTAGTATTTCGGAGTCTGTTCTGGAATGTTTTAATTATGAAAAATATATATTTTGGCTGCTTGTTCAAATTGTTTCAAATGAGCTTAAGCAACACGATTGGACAACATTTTGTCCAAACTTAATTTTATTATGTTCAAACTGATTAAATGTGTCAAATTAACGTTGTCTGTTTGTGTTGGATTAAATTAATGGTTTAATTGAAACTGGGCGTGCTTGTTAGTTCCCAGCATGCTTTGTCAATAGCTGAATTAAGAGAGAAAAAAAATGAAATTAAGTGTTATTTTATGTGTTTTTGAGAAAATGAGAAAAGGGGAAGAATTTATTGTGTGTAATTGTGTTTTATATTCAATTAAATTGCAATTATTAACTATTACAGTGGGTTACCATTGTGGAGAACATGAGTATTTGGTTAGGATCTGGACTGATTACAAATATTTTACAGGTGCTGCATGCTGTAAGAGTAAGTAAATCTTAACAAACTTAGTAAAACAATGGTTAATTATGTAAAGGTACAGACAACATTCGCAATCATTGCAAAATTCAAACGGGATTAGAAAATAATTATTTTCTCTCATTCACTTGCATTGACGATTTTTCAGCCTAGAGGTCCAGCGGTTAGCGGAAGGGACAAAATAGACAGTTGGCTCATTAAACGCAGGCGCAGAACGCACATTCTAGCTGACCGCTTACCTCGACGAGAGCGGACGAGAGGCGACAACACAGTCGGCTTTCATCAGCGCTAGTTCTTTGGCGTCGGCTTGGCTTTAGGGGCTCTGTCGTACGGGTCGTAGCAAAAATCGTACGAATTTGTATGAGTGAAGTCGTATGAATTCGTACAAATTAGCCACCCCGTAAAATTCGTACGATCTTACAGGGATTCAGTGGTAAACTGCACAGGCTCAGGTTTACAGCCGCAACAACTCTGCACTTCATTCTTACCTCAGCTTCTCACCCAGGATGCTTCAAATAAATGCACAACAACGTTTTCACGTTTCCAGCTTAAATTGTTATTTTAATTTAATAATTTTAACAACCTAAAAATACATCACCTTTCACATTTTAACAGTGCATTGAAAAGTTACTTCCTTCATATGAAAAGTAGAAAATAGATACAGAATATAGATAGACGATTGTACAAAAAAATATGTAAAAAATATAGGTCCAATATAGTATACGCATTCTTCCAAAAATGTTGAGAAAAACTGTTTTTGCAAACATAATAATAAAAATAATAACACCAAATATCTCAAGCTGTTCCACACTTGGGATATTACATTACAAGTCATAATATAACTGACTATAACGTATACGTTATAGTCAGTATTAGAACTGAACCACTCAAATTGGGACATTTCCATAAAGTGCCATGGTGAATATGCTACAATGCAAATATATTTAAAAAGCCTGCGCTTACACAAATTATTAGCACTTGTGCACTTGTTCTGGTACGGCCAGAGACAATCATACAATTGTAGTGTAAGAACAATTAAGAATTCACATTTGCCAGAAGTAAAAAATGAACGATGTGCTCCACAAAAGCTTTTCATGCTGTATGATTATATAATGGGTCACTTGGAACACACTGAAAATTTACAGTCACACTCATGAAAAATGGCCCCTTCTACTCAAACTCAATTGATGCCTTGAAGAAAGATTTGGAAAGCTGCAAGTGAGAGGAACGGGATAGAAAGGGTCAAAGAGAAGGAAGAAGATACTTGTTGTGACCCATTAGAGCCAGCTTGGGTTGTGTTGGTGCTGTTTGGAGGTGCAGTGGGGCTTGCGACTTTTGGAGGGAAAGAGCCCACCACATCTCTCAGGAATGATGCAAAGCTGGAGGTTTTAGTAAAGGTCTGGATATCTTGACGGAGAGAGCGGGATGATGCAGTGCTGTTGCTGGAGCTCGTGTTAGAGCTGCTGTTTGAGATGCTCGGTTTTAAGGTCAAAACAGCAGCATGGATCCATGACAGACCCTGCTTACACATCAGCAGACCCGTTTGATCACACTGAGGGAGAGAGAGAGGGAAATCTTTATTGAATGAAAAAAAAAATCTGTTATAAAAATGTTTAGTTTTCATACAATTGGAACATAAACTAGGTTCAAAAGTTTTGTCAGTAAGATTAAACATACACTTCTATTCAGTAAATTTGCTTTAAATTAATAAATGACTAATTAATTAATTATAATTAAAACATATATATTTTAAATAAATGTTATTATTTTGAACTTTCTGTTCATCAAATAATCCTGAAAAAATGTATCACAGATTCCACAAAAATATCTAGCATCACAACTATTTTCAACATACTAATAAGAAATCAAATAACCATATTAGAATTATTTCTGAAGGATCATGTGACACTGAAGTCTGGAGTAAAGGCCCGTACACACCGGGACGAATATCAGCACGCGTTATTCGCCAACGTTCGCGTTTTTTTTGTTCACACCCAATCGATTGTTGCTAACGCTGAGCTGAATGAACATGCAAATTCATTCCCTGACATTAGATGGTGTTTAATATAAAACAGAAATAATATTAGTATACTATACTAGGGTGACCATATTTTGATTACCAAAAAACAGGACACTCGGCCTAGCAACTCAGCAAAACCGTTTTGTGTTTGAGCGCCCCCAAGTTGTGTTTTACTGAAACTTCAGAAGCACCGCACACGTGAGCAAAAGCGCCAATCTCCTTAGTCGGATAGTTTTTGACGCTGTGCGTGAAACCAAAAAGATGAACCTGAGGGTTTTTTTTTAAATGACGCTTTTACGCGTGGCTTTTTTAGTCACGAGGTGTTAAACGTCTGCGAATATCGTGCGAAATTCATCCCGGTGTGAACAGGCCTCAATGATGCTAAAAATTTAGCGTTACCATCCAGGAATAAATTACTTTTAATTTACTTAAATTACTATTTAAAATTTTAAATATATTTAAATAGAAAACAGCTATTTAATTGTAATAATTCATGATGCTGTTATGCTGTATTTTAGATTAAATAAATGATGCAGCTGATGAATATCGGTAGGCCAAGCAGACTGCAGCCCGGGTGGTTGTGGAGGCAAAAACCCGGGCCTGGGAGGAGGTAGGTGAGGCCATGGAGAAAGAGTATCGGCTGGCCTCAAAGAGATTCTGGCAAACTGTCTGGCACCTCAGGAGAGGAAGCAGTGCCCTACCAACGCTGTTTACATTGGAGTTGGGCGACTGTTGACCTCAACTGGGGATGTCGTCGGACGGTGGAAGGGATACTTCGAGGATCTCCTCAATCCCGCCGTGAAGTCTTCTATTGAGAAAGTAGAGGCTGAGGGCTCAGCGGTGGAGTCGTCCATCACCCTAGCTGAGGTCAACAAGGTAGTCAAGATACAGTACTCCTCGGTGGCAAGGCACTGAGGGTGGATGATATCTGCCCTGAATACCTCAAGTCTCTGGATGTTGTGGGGCTGTCTTGGTTGACACACCACTGCAGCATCGCGTGGCGGTCGGGGACAGTGCCTCTGGGATGGCAGACCGGGGTGGTGGTCCCTCTTTTTAAGAAGGGGGACCGGAGGGTGTGTTCCAACTACAGGGGGATCACACTTCTCAGCCTCCCTGGGAAAGTCTATGCCAGGGTACTGGAGAGGAGAATACGGCCGATAGTGGAACCTCGGATTCAGGAGGAACAGTGTGGTTTTCGTCCGGGCCGTGGAACACTGGACCAACTCTACTCTCTACAGGGTGCTGGAGGGTTCATGGGAGTTTGCCCAATCGGTCCACATGTGCTTTGTGGATTTGGAGAAGGCATTCAACTGTGTCCCCCGAGGCGGCCTGTGGAGGGTGCTCTGGGAGTATGGGGTCCGGGGTCCTTTGCTAAGGGCTGTCCGGTCCCTGTATGGCCGAAGCAGGAGCTTGGTTCGCATTGTAGTAAGTCAGACTTCTTCCCGGTGCATGTTGGAATCCGGCAGGGCTGCTCTTTGTCGCCGGTTCTGTTCATAATTTTAATGGACAGAATTTCTAGGAGCAGCCAGGGGCCGGAGGGTGTCAGGTTTGGGGACCACGCAATTTCGTCTCTGCTTTTTGCAGATGATGTTGTCGTGTTGGCCCATTCACACCAAGACCTTCAGCATGCACTGGGACGGTTTGCACCCGAGTGTGAAGTGGCTAGGATGAGAATGAGCACCTACAAATCCGAGGCCATGGTCCTCAGTCGGAAAAGGGTGGCTTGCTCACATCAGGTTGGTGGAGAGATCCTTCCTCAAGTGGAGGAGTTTAAGTATCTTGGGGTTTTTCACGAGTGAGGGAAGGATGGAACGGGAGATTGACAGACGGATCGGTGCAGCTTCTGCAGTAATGCGGTCGATGTACCAGTCTGTTGTGGTGAAGAAGGAGCTGAGCCATAAGGCAAAGCTCTCGATTTAGCGGTCAATCTACGTTCCTACTCTCACCTATGGTCATGACCGAAAGGACAAGATCTCGGATATAGGCAACCGAAATGAGTTTTCTCCGCAGGATAGCTGGGTGGCCCTTAGAGATAGTGTGAGAAGCTCGGTCACTCGGGAGGAGCTCAGAGTAGAGCCGCTGCTCCTCCACATCGTGAGGGGTCAGCTGAGGTGGCTCGGGCACCTGTTCCGGATGTCTTTAGGACGCCTCCCCGGGGAGGTGTTCCGGGCACGTCCCACTGGGAGGAGACCCCAGGGAAAGACTGGGAGGAGACCCCAGGGCCTCCCATTCTCCCAAACTAAAGTATTTTAGTTCAAGTTAACGAATGCATTTATACTATAAACTAAACCTTATTGTAAACTGTAAATATATTATATTTCCTTCCTGTTTTAAACATAAGTAACTTGCCTGCTGTAAGTTCAAAGAACTTGTGCAAATACTGTTGCTTGAGTTTACACAATCCACAATAGAGGTCTTGAATTCCTGAAGAGTTTGATTCACTATAAAAGAAGGAAAACAATTTCAAATTTGGAAGACATGGAAAAAGGATAAACATTCTACTAAACTAATTTTATCATTTAGTGATGATTCAAAGGATTCACACACGCACAAACACACACACACACACACACACACACAAACTCTAAACCTAGCCATGACAGAAAACATCACTTATAATTATTTAGACCAATAGACCAAACAATGTCCCCATAAGGACAAAGATTGCAGATATTGCCATCCTTGTGGGGACATTATGTCCCCATAAAGTAGGGTTTAGCAGGACAAGCACAGCTTTTTCCATTTTTCCATAGACATAATGATTGTTTTATACTTGCATACATCACTTAGTATGATTTATAAGCCACACACACACAAAACACACCTCCTCCTGCTCCTGAGCTCCATCCTGCCACCCAGCATTGAGTATTAGCGCTGAAGGTATTTTCTCCCATGTCCACACATATAGGCTGGATGAAATTTGTAAGGTTTGGTGCAACGGCCAGCTGCAAGACTGCAACGTTGTCGCCTGTGGTATTGCTGATGGTGAGATTCACCACTTTTATAGAGACCTCATTGGGGTTGGAGCCGTTCTGATTTAGACGGCCCAGGATCACGGTCCAATCGGAGGCATTGTTGGAGCTGGCCGAAAAAAGAATTCCATTGAAAATCGGATCAATCGGATTTCTCTAATCAAATGTCCTTTTCATATTTAAGTGCCATTACCTGGTAAAACAGCTAGCAGAGCTCATGACAAAGCGTTCAGCAATCAGCGCTCCGCCACACAGTTGACTGCCGTTAAACTGCAGACTGACCATCCATGGCCATCTGCCTGGAGACACAAGGGAGCTGATTCCTCCAACACGGGTGTTCAGACTGGCACTTCCACATGTTAAAGCTACAGGAACAGAGAGAAAGACAATGATGCCGGGTTATATCAGTCAAATGTGTCTTTGATTTATTTTCTTTGAAACATTTATATGGCTGCCTTAAAGAGCAACAACAAATGTGTTATTCTTAGACTACACAGATATGGTCCATTAGCATAATATATCTCAAATCTTCTGGCCATAATTTCAATAGTCAAGTACAGATGCTTGACTATTCAAGATAAAGTTGAGATCTGTAATTTACAGATAAAGAACAGATACTTGAGTAAAGTAAAAATACTTCACTACTGTCCATCTCTGGTCCCAGGACACCAGTATTTAAATGATACAGAAAAGATGAATTGCTGTCGGGCCAACTGATATTTCAGTATGGAGGTAAAGGTTAGGATTATGAATTTTCAGTAGTGTTTCAGCACACTGTGAGTGTATATTAAACATAATGGGTTATTATTAACATTAACGGTTAACATTAATTAATGCACTGAGAACTATATGCAACAGCTGTATTAACTAACGTTAACAAAGATGAACATAAACAGTAACAAATGTATTGCTCATGGATAGTTCATGAATACATTAACTAATTTTTCATAAATTAACCTTATTGTAAAGTGTTATCATACGTATATAGTATATATTATTATACCAAGTCTGATTCGCTTTTTCATGATTTCTTTTGACAGCCTCATTAAAAGAACTGGTTAATAAGTCATTTGTTGTTCATTATTTAGGAAACACAGTGGCATGCTTTAATGTAATGATATCTGATGAAAGTGTGGGCAATTTTGAATGTATTTTAAATTATTGTAGCATTTTCTTTTTTGTCGCATTGGGTCTGGAGCTCTGTGCCTCTTTCACCTTCCTTGAAAATGACTACATGAATTTCATTCACTATATAAATATGTGTTTATCTAAATTTAAGTCAAACACTTTGAAATCAAGTATACTTCTAATGCACAAAAGTCTTTGGACAAGTTGCCAAGTGAACAATGTATGCATGATTTTTTTAAGGAACCTTACGTGTGATAGGTGTAGTTGTAGGGGCAGTAATTGTCGGGATGGCAGACACACTAGGGCAGCTGATGCTCAGGTCACCGTCAGTACCAATGGAATTGAACGTAGTGAAGCATGGCTGGTTGGTGGTGATTTGCTCATTGATCCAGGCCTTGTACTTAGACACTCTGGTATACACACCAGGGAAAATTGATTTAGCACAACCTTTGCCAAAGCTCACAACTCCAGACTGGATCCAGACCGAACCCTGTTTGCTGACCATAGGACCACCAGAGTCACCCTGTAGGAGGAAGAATAGGTTCTCACATCATAACAATCTCACATCATCTTCATAACAGTACAAACATCAGCAATTCAATTTATTTAATCTGAATAGAGCTAAACTGAAAAACTGGTTTGTGTTTAAATATTACATTTCTGCTTGATTCACTAGGTTGAATTGCCTTACAATAGTCAAAGTTCAACCCTTACATTAAGATTTCCATTACACAAGGGTAGATGTTAAAACTTCATGCTGATTTGTACTCAGCTTTCACCAAGGCAAGCAAAACTAAGACGTAGCTTTACAGTAAATGATGCTTCTCCATCCATTTACACTTCTTTCCATATGGTGGTGTGACTCTCCTTCTGTCCGGCGTTGAAAGTTTTACTCATTCTACTTATTCTTAATTATAACTAAATAGACCATTTGTAGAACATAAACAGCCTGTTTAAACTATATGAAGTAACACAAACAGAAGTATAGGATTTGTTACCTTACAGGAGTCTTTGCCCCCTTCCAATACTCCAGCACACATCATGTTGTCTGTGATTTTTGTGACACCATAAAGACATTTACACTGCCTGTTTCCAAAAATAGACACTTGCACTTCCTGTAGAGTTTGCGGTGAAGGCAGGGGAGCTAAGAAACACATAAAATGATAAAATATACATCAACTATTGCAATTGTACAGTATGATGTGACTGTTATCAAGGTTACTTAAATTAAATACGTACTGTTTGAACGAATCGCTCCCCATCCAGTGACCCAGCTGGAGGTTTTGTTGAAGAACAAACTGTTTGATGAAGCCAGACAGACCGGACTGATAAACTGAGTAAAATTCACCGGTGAATCCAGTTTCAGAAGAGTGATGTCGTTGTCATAAGAGGGGGAATCATATTTTGGGTGTTTTATGATACTAGAGACAGCTCTGGACACCTCATTTGCATTTGCCCCCTCCTGTGTCTGTCGGCCCAGGTACACAGTTACAGGGAGTGTTGTACTGGAATATGGTTGAAGAAGAAGTGTTAAGCATTTGCCACATCAAGTGAATGATTTAAATCATGTAATGATAATTGCAAGAATTGGTTTATTAAAATTACTCTAGAAAGCAGTGAGCTGCAGTCAGAATCCATTGATTGTTGATGAGTGATCCACCACAGAAATGTTTCCCGTTCCTATGAAGGCTGACCTGCCATGGCCAAGCGCCAGGCACTGCATTCTGCCCCCCCACTATCCTTGTGTTGAGACCTGCTTTGCCACACACTGACAATAGACAAGGTAAAGAAAACACATTTTATATAAAGCATTGTTAATTTTTAATGGAATTTGGGAACTTAAATTGTTAGGGGACCACAGGGCACAACCTATAACGTGGGGTTAAATGTAACACGGACCTTTTACATAGTTAGTCAGGATCAAGCAGGTTGTGTTTCTGCTCTTTTTCTCTCGCTGCCAGAAGACTGTCTCCCGCGAATTTGTGGAAAGTTTTGATAATATTTCGTGAAGATACTGGACAAAGAGTGTTTTGACACCATGCAAGTAAATTTTTTCATCATAGGTTTTTTTCGGTGTCTGAGTTGGGTGTGTACGTTTCCAAATCTAACTTTATATTGCCTTAATCACTGTCTTGTTGGCTCAAGCACCGTTTTGAAACATGTCAGCAATTCCTCGCAACTGTTAGCTAGGCTTAAAATATGTAATACACAGCGGGGTTAGTTGTAGCACAGTGTTACAATAAGCCGCCAAGTGTACAATGATAATCAAATGAAAATAGGGAGCCACACAACTTTTCAGGTTTGAGAATTTATTTATTGTTTATTTCTTTATTTATTGTTTTATTTATTCATTTATCTTTGTTGGACTTTCACAAACAATGTTGGAATTTAAAATGTTTAAAATTTAGTTTACTATGTATTGATCACTTGTTTATTTATTAAAAATATGGCCTGTTCAGAATGCAATAAACCCTTAACATTTAGATTTTAAACTCATTTGTATTATTATTACTGTTATTATTATTAATAATAATAATTTTACATGCAGCTGCCACACACAAATCTAATTCAATTGCAATTTACAATATTTAATAGGTCTGGCGTTAGCCAGGCTAGCAAAACTGTGCAGCCCTTTTCTATGTCTCTATCCATGATATTTATCCATAATAGAAGGATGAGGGATGGATGTATGGATATCTATGTATACAGATGCACAAACAATATCAAACTATAGTTCTGAATTATGTGTTACACACAAGTGTTACAACTAACCCCTGTCTGTGACAATTAACCCCGCATATAAGTTGTAACATTTGCACTTCTGTCACTTTCAGTGCTACTACAGTACAAAAATGGTAGGTCCTAGAAAAAAACTTTAAGTGTTCGTTTGTAGCAGAGATGTGTATGCTGCTTGTGAAAAAAAGCTGAATCTAACTTAATAATTTTTTTAAATAACTGAGCCAAAACCAAAATGTGTTAGGTTGTGCCCTGCTCTCCCCTACCATTCATTTGTGCATTACACCCTAGAAAGAAATAAAAGTTACACAACAGAAGAAATAAAGTTACACTTAGTGATAGCCTAAATCTAAAAAGTAATGGTTATGTTAGTTAAAAAACAATTATTAGGTATCTAAAGCATTAATTAAGCAATAAAAGGTCTCACCTATCATTTGAAGAGAGACGATAAATGCTACACTGAGTTTGTGGATCATCTTCATCTTCATCTCTGACAGCACACACACCTGCAGTCCTGCTCTTAAATCCCCCTGCTAACCTGTTTTCAACACGCCCACATAATCTCTCTTCACATTTTAACGCCGTCAAGTCTCTCTGTTAACTCCTTCATTGTTCATTCGAGTTTCTTATTGAGCAACCGGTAAATCTGAAAGTGTAATGAGGGACATGTTGGCGACTCTCAGTAATGCGTCTGTGCAGTTTGTCACCTAAAAATGTGTTATCAATCTAAAAAAACAACAACAAACAAACAAAAAAAAAGCGTTAAAATAAGATTTTTGTTTCTGGTGGCTTTTTAATGTTGAGATCGAAGAAGGTGCATGAGGTGATTTTAGTGTTTCTAAAAATAAAACTATTTTATGAGGTGATGTTTTCATGTGATGAGGTGATGTTTGTGCCATGTGATAAACACGGAAACAACATTTTTTTTCCTAAACATGTAGGTCAACCTCTAAAATCTTAAAAAAGAAAGAAAAAAAAAAAAAAAAAGTTCCCAGTTCTCCAAATTTTAAAAGTTACTAATTGCCACGAGTGTGTTGAAAAATTTCCTTAAACATGTTACTGTGTTCTTTTGTGTTCGTAAGTTTAAAAAAAAAAAAAAAATGAATGTAATGATTGATGGTTTAATTTAACATCCTTAAATCCTGTCAAAAAGGGGAAGTTAAAGTCTTGCAATAGTAAAATGATTGACTAAATACCTAGCTAACAGAGATGCAAAAGATTAAAGTAATACTTAAGTGACCTATAAAATCTTAAAGTATAAAAATAAATCTGTTAAATCATCATATCTCATTCTTCTGTGAAGGAAAAGTTCTCTAAGGTTGAGGTATTATGGGGAGACAGTTCCCAACCTAAATCAAAAAAATTATATTTTCTTATCTCTTAAAATGACTAAGACTTGCTACACAGCTGTCTGGACTGGGGTAGATTTCTGTAAGTGTCACGGTGTGGTGCAGGCAGAAGGTGATGAGGAGAATGGACAAAGACTAACTGAACAGACAGAACTTAAATGCAAACACAGAAGATGATGAATAACTGAACAAGTGATGCAAATGAACTGATAATGAAGAGGACAAGTGACATGATGACAGGCAGACAAGACCAATGAAAACAAACTAAACACAACTGTGACAAAGACGAAAAGCTTTCATACAAAAAGAGTTTGTCACTTCATATATAAAACCTTTCAGAGGTTCTCATCATGGGATCATTCATTTTATGGATTCAGTTAAATTAGTTACTTAATTAAGGTTAGTTTGAATTCATTGGTAATTGTAGTTAGATTTGATGAATTAAGCCGTTCATAAACATACTTTATAACTGGAATTTTGACATGAAATGTTCTTTAAAAGTGAGTCAAGAACCGTAAGGTTCTATAGAAAACCCAATCCGAGAATAATATTTTAGTTTCTTGTTAGGAATTGCTTTCTCTAGCACTGACTCTCTAACAAAATTTATTTTAACATTTGCAAATGTAGGGATGCAGCTTGTTTAATCTAACAAAATTAACTTCCCTTTTGTACAGTATTTTCAAGGTTTGTACAAATAATGTTGTAGTATATATAATATAATATTGTAAAATATACTGAAATTCTAATAAAGAAGAAACAAATAATGATAAGCATAGTTGTGTTGTGTTGTGCTACTTACATGTTATCACTGTGAAGCTGCTTTGATACAATCTGTATTGTGAAAAGCGCTATATAAATAAATGTGACTTGACTTGACTTGACTAGTTATACCAATTATAGTTCCTAGTTTCTGATTGGGCAATACAGTTGTAATAACATCTGCAACAGAAAAACAAACAGCTATAAAGGAAGGACAATTAATCAGGCAATTAATTTAAGCAACAAACAACAAGATTGGTATGCTGGTATTCATTTGTCATTAAATGGTCTAATTATAATATTTTACCTCAACAAAAGACAAACATGAGGCATGAATTCAGAATCATTTAGAAGATTTGGCTTTATGTGACTTTAAGTGCTTTTGCTCAAAGTAGTTTATCATTTTGATGATTAAGTAATCAACCACCCAAAATACCAACCACTGGTTTCAGGTTTTCCAGGTTTGTTTTTCAGATATCTTCTGGCTTAGTCATGCAAACAACACAGGAAATGCCATTTGCTAATTTCCATAAGGATATGTGATCATCTGTGAAAACCTAAAGAAACCCAAAGAAACAATGATGATCATGGAGAAAGACTGAGAAGAAGAAGAAGGTGATGAAGTACAGATGGAATTGATAAATGAGAAATAAGTTGGTGTTTGAAGAGAGGAAGAGGACAGCAGGGTGGAAAGAGAAGACACAAATGAATCATGATGGTCTACTAGTAGGTCCCAATCCTCATGTTTGTCTGAAGAAGTTTTACATGTGTGGATTAATAAAGTATTAACAACAACAAAACAACTTCCTCATAGTCCATCTTAGAAAAAAATGTACAAGAAAGTTGACACAAAATGGCAAATAACAAACAGATCTTTATTCTTCCCCACTTGAAAAGAAATCAAGTTATTTAGAATTTTAAATGCATTTTTTTTAGTCTAGAAATCTCTATATTCAAATGTCAGACTGTAAAATGATTCTGTTGCAGTTTCTCCTTCAAAATAGCTGGTTTCAGGATATTGCATTTTAAGGAAATTTAAATTAATGAAATGTATGATTTGAGGACATTTTAATGATGATTTTTTTTTTAGGGTGTAATGAATCAAATATAAAGTTGTCAGTGCCATCTGCATCTATAAATCACACTTCTAATATCATTACTTTTTTGACAAGTAATTCCAATTACAGAATTCAGCATACAAGAAGAATGCTTCACATGACAAATATCACGTAGGCCTAATCACTCTACTTACACCCAAGGGGGTAAAGCCTGGCCACTCCCTAAGTCCTATTGAACCGAATTTTGGTTGTAGTTCCACCAGATTTCCACTGGGGGCGATCGTCCGAGTGCAAAATGAATGGGAGTCTATGGGGCTAGACGGCTAAATTAACACTTTAATACTTTACATGGGAGACTAAAGGGTAATACTTTAGTCTCACATTTCTGTTGATATAATTTTAATATCATATATTTTAATATCATGTATTTAAATATCATGTTTGTTTGTTATTGTTGTGTTTGTGTTTTCTTCATTTTAACATTTTTTTTTGTAGCCTACATATTCTGGAAATATTTAGTAACCATAAGTTGCACACACACATTTATATATGGCTGTATACATTATTATTTTTTTTAATTATTTATAAAGCACTTTGCACCTGCAGACCAAAGTGCTGTCCAATCAGCACATATATAAAAAAAAAAAAAAAAAAAAAAAAAAAAAAAACAAGCAACATAAAAACAGTGTACAACTTACATACAAACACTAGCTCAATCTCTCAAAGGCTAAAGACAGGAAATATTATTATTATTTTTTTTTTTGGGAACTTATTTTTTTATTTGGAACCACATCATTACGTGTACAATACAGAATGGCATTGGTTAATCCATCATGTTCTCAAAGACAATATTGCTAATTGTCCAAACTTAATTATATTGTACACATTATACAGATAATGAATTTAAATTTAATTATTATTTATATATATATATATATATATATATATATATATATATATATATATATATATATATATTAGAGAAAGGCAGAGATGAAATTTAGGTGGATATGATAGTATGACACATGGTCATAGTAGTATTAACGGCATTGCAGGAGTTTGAAAAAATCTGGTTATTACATTCCATTTGAATTCCCTCCAGACATTAGAGTTGGTCACACAATAAACCTCTTCACACTCCTTGATTTGTAACGCATTCTCACCCCAAGGCGTCACCTTTGACCATGCTTCAATATTTGACGTTTTAGGCGCCCTTTAGCGTCACTCACATGACGCGATCCTACGGCGTCATCTAACTGACGCTAAAGGAAAGCGTCTGTTAGAGGACGCGGTTAGGTTTAGGTGTGGGGTGGGGGTAGGGTACACGCGATCCTAGGGCGTCATCTAACTGACGCTAAAGCGTCAGATATTGAAGCATGTCCAAATGCTTCCCAAGGCGTCAGTTAGGTGACGCCTTGGGGGTGAGAATGGGCTGGTTATTTGAATTCTGCGTTGTGAGGAAATGTCTCAGTTGTAAATATCTAAAAAATTCAGACCTTGGGAGTGTAAATTCATCTCTTACTTTTTCAAATGATTTAATTGTGTCATTATAATTGGAAATAATTGGTGCAGATACTCAAGTCCAGATTGTGACCAGTTTTTGAAATCCTTACCTGTGAATCTGTACGACAAAGTCATTAAGATGGCCAATGCTTGCTGGAGATTTTCTAAGACAAACCTAATGCTTTTTTATAGTTCTCCAAATTTTTAAGGTAACTTTGGTCCATTCACCTACTGAAGCATTTTTAGGATACACTGGAGAACACAAAGGAAGATATTTGGAAGAATGTTTTAATCAAACAGATCTCATTCCCCATTGACTACATTATGTATTTTTTCCTATATGGTAGTCAACGGGGAATGAGATCTGTTTGATTAAAACACTCTTCCAAACATCTTCCTCTGTGTTCAGCAGAACAAATGAACACATAGAGGTTTGGAACAACATGAGGGTGAGTAAATACTGACAGAATTTTCATTTTATGGGTGAACTAACCCTTTAACGGAAACTGAGCAGAGCTCGTTAGTTCCCAGCATGTTTTGCATATAGCTGAATTAAGAGAGAATACATGTTGAAATTAAGTGTTATTTTATGTGTTTTTGAGAAAATGAGAAAAGGGGAAGAAGTGTGTAATTGTGTTTAATGTTCAATTATTAGAACCATTTAAATTACATTAGAAGAGGAGCATTTGGTTAGGATGTGGACTGATTAAACAGATTTTACACTTGCTGCTGAAAGTGTAGGCTAAGTAAATCTTAGCAAAATTAGTAAAACATTTTGTTAAGGGTCCCTCCTTTGAGGCATCTGGGGACAGACAAAGA